AGGCGTGACTGTCAATATTACTGAATCAGAAGCTGATTGCATGACTTTCTTGCCAGATTTTCCAGAAAAAGAACTGAGTACCATGTCAGTCACGCCAGAACTGAAGAGAAGCTGATTAAATTCATCTTTGTCCAGAAATGTGTCCCTTTTAGTAAGCAAAACGGAACTGACAATATGATCCTGTTAAGTAAATGCAAGGTAGATAAATATGACTGGTAAACAACCCAATTCGTGAAATGAATACAAGGATTTGAAGAAATAGCTTGGATGTACAACCTGAATTAAAGCTCGAAGTGGATCACCATTAGAAGGCCTGGCATATTGGTTATTAGCATTGACAATATTGTAGGCCTCAGCACGTGAAATCTCATCTTGTGGAAAATGCACATTCATCTCATCACCATCAAAATCTGCATTGTATGTACTGGAAACAAAGTAATTTTTTAAGTCAGTCTTTAAGATACAAGAAAATGCATGTGAAAGATAAACCAATACATGGAAATTGCAGACAAGGTAGACAATGACATCTGGAAGAGACGGAATTCTCTATATCCACAGTGTCTACCTGCAATTTGCATAGTGGAGACGAAGTGTTTTCTCCCCTCTAAGAACACGGACCATGTGCGCCATTATGCTAGGTTTATGTAATGTTGGCTGCCATTACAGATTAAATACTCTATGTTAATAAACAGTTAACACAGACAAAGGAATTACAGACCAAACGTACAATGCCTGAGACCACAACAAGCATTGAAGAAAGAAATAAACAAAATGTACTACTTGATTATCAAATTTGGGAAACAATTTGCACAACCCAGATGACTCTTTCCAAAATCGCCTAGTAAAAGACCTAACAATACTTGAGAAACATTTTAGATAGGCAATATTAACAAAATAAAACATGTGTCCACACCTGACGATTCACAAGGACGACGTCACCATCTTGCATATGTCGATAGACAACTTTACCTTCAAAGTTGACATCACAAGTTTTCCCAAGTTCTGTAGTGGCTCCTCGAGCAGACAGTAATTTTCTTGCAATCGCTATTCGTGCTTTTCTGGTCGAAGGCAGCTTCATTGTAGATACTTTGTCAGAGTAATGTGTTGCTCCCGGATGAATGTCAGGACCATTAATGATAGCCTCTCTTAACTTTTCAACATTCCAAGGAGTCACCCTCTGCAGCAATACATTAACATCCATTAAACATAGGGTTACACTACAGGTTGGACATGCATTTTTGTACATCTATGAGTTGCCACCAGTCATCTCAGTAGTGGCAAAGCTGGAAGATGATGAAAATTATGGTACGAAGTCATAACTACCAAACGAGTCTGTAAGCAATCACTATGGAAAGAGACATTTTTTCAAATTTGACAAGTATTACTAACAAATGTAGTATTTCTCCTCATCATATGAATCTTCAGAATAATAAACCAATATCTCATCCATCTAAGCCTGCCGGTGCGCGTGATTTAAAGTCAAAACGATTACGGTCAAATTTGGGTATGTAATTATGTCAGATAACAAGTACAATTTACTGGTATCTGACACCATACCTCGGGGTATGTCAATTTCAAAGCAAAACAAGGAGGAATTCCAATATCATTGACAGCGATATAAGGATCTGGAGATATCACAGATCTGCAAGCATGATTCACCCTCTTTCCCATCATTTTTTGCCGAAATAAACCCTCTTTCTTCTCCAGCAATTGACATATTCCAGAAACCTCTTTCTGGCTTTGAACTGTTGAGGAAATTAGCTATAATAGTCAGTTTACACCAATACAAGAAAGCAGATAGAACAGTGGGGCAGCCAGTTGCTATACATAGCTAGAAAAACTAAGGACATTCTTAGTAATAGATGCACCTCAAACAAGTTAATGCGCTAGAAGCTAACCTGTGGCAGTTTTGCTATCAAATAAGACATTGACTGATTCTTGGAGATTCATCCATCTAGCAATTATCTTGGATTGATCTAATTTGTTAGTACGGGCATTTCCAAGGGCTATATTACATTGTAGAACCTTATTTAGCCCTAGGGTTTGAGGATGCTCCATTACCTGTATAAGAGACAAAAATCGTAAGAGACTTCTGACATACAGGAGTTAATGGGAACAACCATCAGACAACACAGAGGCAATGCCAAGAGTTATAAAATGAACATAAACTCCAAAAATTAGATAGTAAATGAAGCGCCCAAACAGTATCATATGTACAAAATTGCTTACGCTATCGCCTCCTTTTGTTGGAGCTCTAAATTTAGTAGGAGGCACAAGAACACTCTCCAAAAAGAACATAGAGTAATCAACTTTTTCAGATCCACTCTTCCAAAGATCACCAATGAAGGAGCAAAACTCATACTCATTATCCCACAAACCTTTTAAGATATCTTTGACCTAAAAAAGTATAACAATAGCAAGACGTTATAAATGTGCAAAATTTTGGTCTCGTCTAATTTTGAAGTTAAAATATATCAGAAACAAAACCTCAGTCGGCAAAAGGTCTCTTTTATCCTTCAGCTCTACAGACTCTTTAGCTACTTCCAAAGGTTTTTTTCTTTTCTTTGTAGCATCATCTGCAACTTCTGATAATGCATCGATGCCACTGTCATCACAGTCATCGGAATTTTCTACACTGCCAGAGGACTTCTTTATCTTAAGCCCTCGGATTACATTAGCTCCAATGTCGGCACCTTTCATACCTCCCTGTTTAAAAGATTTCACTGATATCAAGGAACATAACATAGAAAATTTCAAAGCAAATAAAAATGGGCGTGTGGTGGACATGGAATTTCTCTTTGGAAATCCAGTACACAGGAGTAGTATAGGGTCCACAAAATAAGACGTTAAAAGACAACCTAAAGGAGTGCGGGGGAAACAATTACATTCTCTGGAATCCACAGAATCAATAAAAGGCGAGTAGAGTTTTCAAACCAGATAGAATGTCAAGGAAATAATACAACATAATTGGGATGTGTTAAATAAAAGCATGTCAAAGTTTTTATCTTCAAATGCGGAAAACCAGTTGTAAAAAATATTGTTCCTTAGAAAATAGAAAATTAGAAAACAGGAGCATACTGACATTGATGGCACTCGGCTAATCATGTTTCCTAAGGCACTTCTCACACGCACACTAAACTACAGATCAGGCATCGGGTTAAATGGAATAATCCAAGACCTACAACTCCACTCAATAAAAGAAAACGGACTATATTCTCATTTATGCATACCAAAATAAATTTAATTCGGATGAAAAAAGTTGATACTAGGATATCGAAAAACTTTCAAGAGGACATACCATGCGAACCCATCCAAACATAGGCTTCTCTAGTTTAGGAGGTTTTGCTTTGCAACGGTCACATGTCTTTGAATTCAACCTCAAAATTCTATTCATGACATCAGTGACTTCAGCAAACTGTAGAGATGTCCATCTCTGCTTTCCCATGTCAGAATCTTCACATTCTTCAGATGAATCAACGGCTCCAGAATCCAACTGCTTAGCGGCAACTATATCACCTTTCATGATGAGTTTCAACTGAGAAACACATTTCTCAACCTAAAATTGAAACAAGAAGGAGAAAGGAACATTAATCAAATTAGGAAAGGCGAACGAGACACAACTCTATCAGAACTTATCATATATATATATCTTACATCAGTCTCTTTTGCCTTAAATTGATGACAGAAGAAACAAGTCCTCTGCAAAAACTGGTAAAGAAGATTGAACAGCAAAGGATGGTAAATAGGATAGAGAAGCTCGATATGCCCACAATGTCCTGGACAACTAAGTGAGAGCTGACCACATGATTTACAACTGCATCAAGAGAAAAAAAAAAAAACTTCGATTACTCAAACACTATTATCCCCTAACCAACGTTACCATTAGAATCAACATTTCCAAGCAAGAGACAAGGAATAAAAATAACTTCTTCACAAAAATCCCATAAACAAAAGGCATATTGACGAAGGACTTACGGTGTTCTATCGTCTAAAGGACCCAATAGAGGATCATAGAGACCACCAGGTGCAGGTCTATCAACGTTATCGAGTAATACAGGATTTGTAACTTTAAGAAAACTATGTTGTCGAACATCTTCTTCTGTCATGAAACTAAATCTAACAGATTCGACCATCTGGGTAGCTCCCTGAAGAAATCAAAACCCTCGAGAACATAAGATAAACCATCCAAAGCAGGAAAAAAATACAGAGAAGTCGAGCACCATGGAAAAAAAAAAAACTCAAACAAACCTCTGTGGTTTGAACTGCCATTGCGTTGTCACGAAATTAGGGTTTTTGCTAGAACGGAGACAATTAGGGTTTATCAATCTGGTCGCCTTTGAGATTGACACAACACAACCGGAATTTTAATCGGAGTTCCAAAGTGAGAGAACGCGGCGCGACGTTGAAGGTTTTTTTGTTTTTTTTTAAACTCGGCGTGAAGGGTTTCACGGTTGAATATATAAAAAAAAAAAAGATGTATATAATGCCGACTTAATAAGTGTTCACTCTCAAAAATGGAAAACCAAAAAAAAAACTTTTTTTTTTCCTTCCATGTGTTACTGTAGTTGAGTTTGTTTAATCACATAATTATGTTTTTTCCTCTTTAACATTTGTTACGTCTTGTCCATTAATCTCTCTTTGCAATAACATATATTGAGTGTCTAATAATTCTATAACAAAGCTGTTTTCTAAAGTTAAAAAGTCTCATATCAATCCCAAATTCAAATCTAACAATAGAAAGTTTCAAAGTTTATACAAGGCCTATTCACTTGAAGAAAAAAATCCCAAAGGTCTAATAGGGGATAAATCGTTGATATGATCATGACCCTATACATCAATCGACTAAGAGACATAGGCT